AGACCCCCAAACCCAGGCACTGAGGACACAAAGGGGAGATCTTCCCTCCCGCAGCCCCCCGAAACAGCCCGGTGATGGGTACCCGGGTGATGGGTGCCCAGGCTGTGCCCCTGTCCCCACCTCGATTCGCCATATCTGGATGCCTGGTGTGGTCTTGTTGAGCGTCCTGCTGACTTTGGTGCTGAGCTCCACCATGGTGACAGGTGCTGCAGGCAAGGGGACCTGCCGGAGCATCGGCAACACCCTCGTTAATGGCAGGCAGTGTCATTAAGAGCTGGGACGGAGCCAGTCTGCTGTGCCATCTGCTGTCCAGCCTGGTCTGCAGCCAGCCAGGCCATAAACCCCCTGTCCGGAGCTGCACAGGATAAGGGGACCCCCCGGCACCCTGGTGCCAGGGCTGCAGTCCCCCTTGGCCTGGCTGGCACCGCGGCTAATGGGGGCTGTCATGGCGGGAGCGGGGTCCCCTGAGCGCCCCGGGCACCCCCAGCGCAGCAGCCACAGCTGGGTGACGCCGCTGCGCAGTGGCCTGCTCCTCAACGCCAGCAGGAACCGGCCCTACCCAGCCTGGTCCCGGCACAGCTTGGCACAGCATGGCACGGCCACTGCTGGTGGCCTTGCACACAGATGCGCACACACGCTCATGTGTGTGCAGGCACACTGCCCACTTCAGCGCCCCCCTATTCCTGACCCCACCACCAGCGCCCAGCCCCACAGAGGTGCCGAGCGTGCCAGGGCTCAGCCCCGGTGCTGCTGAGGTTGCCCACAGCCATTCCTGCCAGGCTGGCAGTGCTCACCGGCAAGCAGTCGGGGGGGTCAGGCAGCTGGCGTTGCGCAGAGCCCCCCGTGTGCCCTGGCAAGGAGAGCCAGCGGTGCCCAATGGAGAGGTTTCGGCTCCCCCAGCCCCACAAAACCCCACCTGGTCCCACTGCGCTGCCCTGAAAGCACCCACATCCCTCAGATCCAGGGGGTGACATCCCCCCAGCGCAGCCCCCGAGGTGGGACACGGGTGGGTCCCCAAGCTCCGTCCCCAGGCCACCCCAGTGCCAGAGCGGTGGTGACGGTGGGATGCACTGCCCCCTCCCCATGCCCACCCTCCGTCCTCCCACCCCAGCCCCTCACCTTCCCTGCGGAGCTGGGCACAGGTGAGTGTACCTATGCAAAGTGCTCAGGTGCCAGCACCCAGGAGACCTTTGTCCCCTCCTGTCCCAGCCTGTGTTCACCATATAAGGGCAGGAACAGCCCGGAGTCAAGGTCCCCACGGCCCTCCAAGGCTTCACGGCACCTGAAGAGCCCCGTTACTCATGGGGTGATTGCCCGCCCGGGGTGCTATTGCAGCACGGGGCAACCCCAGGCACCCTGCCCACGGGCTTGCTGTGCTCGGGGTGATACCTGCTGCCCTTCCCAGGCCTGATGCTCTCTTGGCCCTTGGCACTGAGCCCATGGTGATGGGGTTTTTGATGCCTGCACCCCACCAAAAGGGTCCCCAAAGTGATAGCAATGGGGTGAACCAGGCCAGGGGGGCTGTCAGCCACAAACAGGGAGGTGCCCTGCTGCCACAGGGATGGGCTCTGCTGCTGCCCTCCACTCCCCAGTCCCCAAAACCCCCCAAACCCTCCCAGCCATGGAGCACTAAGCCCGTGGCAATGGGTTTTTTTGGTGCCTGCCCCCCCCAAAATGGTTCTCCAAAGGGATAGCAACAGGCTGACGCCACAGGGCTGGGCTACGCTGCTGCCCTCCACTCCCCGGGTCCCGTGGTGATGGGGTTTTTGGTTTTTTTTCCCTGCCCATGGGACTGTTCCCAGCCTGTGCCACCTCCCAGCTGGAAGCCAGATCCCTGCTCACCACCTGATGGGCTTTGCCTCCTCGCATTGGGGGTCTCTGCAGCCCCAGCCTTGGGGATGGGAGGGAGGCGCAGGGATGTGGCATGGTGCCCCGTAAGCCCTATGTCCTGCCCTGTGCTCCCGAACCCCAGCCGCAAGGGGTGGTACCTGGTGATGCCCTTGGGGTTGGCAGAGAGGAGAGGGGGCTGGGGTCCTGCCCAGTGGCTCCCAGCCCCAAAGGTGGTTTGGGGGACAATTGGGGGGTACATAAAGCTGGGGGGGTGTTCACAGCAGCAGGCAGGCCCCCAGGCTCCCCATCCCGCTCTTATCTCTTCCCCAGCCCGGCAGGATTGCCGCAGCCTTATCTCGGCCTTGCTGCTGAGCCAGCAGCCATGGGCACGAGCACCGCGGGCATCCCGCACCCCAGCCGTCACCCCGGCGCCAGGCTTGGGCCCCAAGTCCTGCCTACCCCCCCGCGCACCAAGGATACCCGAAGTGATGGCAATGGGCTGAACCAGGCCGGGAAGGGTCAGCCACAAACAAGGGGGTGCCCCGATGCCACGGGGATGGGCTCTGCTGCTGCCCTCCACTCCCCTGGCCCCCAAAACCCCCAATCCCTCCTAACCATGCCACCCAGCTCCCACCCCCTGCACCCCACATCAGCGTCCCCCACGGGACCCTTACCTGGGTGCAGAGCCTCCGCTGGGGGTGTAGGGCTCAGTTTTGGGTGGGGTGTGACACCCAGGTTGCCGCTCTCCCCTTGGTGACCGCGTCGCAGGGCTGAGCCCGCCAGTGTGGCACAGGGGTGGGGGACCCCACGCCAGCCCCAGAGGGCTCGCCCCCTCCCCGGGCCCCCCAGCTGGACACGCTGGGCCACTAATGAACTCAGTAATTAGTGCAGCCATCAGGGAGGACAGAGACTTCTTTCATAAGGGGAGGCACAGGGCCAACAAGGGCACAGGGTGGCAGCTGAGACACCCCCCCCCCCAGCACCCCACTGCCTGCACACTGGCAGGAGGCTGCCCGGGGGGGGCCG